GAAAGATGCCTGCCTTCCCTCCGCCTCACATCAGTCCCCCTGAGCTATTTCCACCCATCCGTCTATCTGTAGGAAGGCACCAGGGCGGAACTAGCCTAATTCGACAGTGTGACCCAGAGCTCAGCTCATAACGGCAAGAGGTACTTAAAACAGGGTGGCCACTCAGCGCAGCTGGCTGGCTGAACTAACCGGGGTGATGGAAATAACCACTTACGGAACGCTTTCCACTTCCAGAGATTTCCTGGGCGCTGAAGGTCAGCAGATTAGCCTCTTCCTCGTCACGGTCTAGGAGCTGGCCTTGGAGGTCTGTCTATCTCCCTTACGTTTTCTTACTTTCTCAGCTGTGCAATTGAGTGATGGCTTTCTCCTGTGAACCCACAGGATATTCCTGCTTAGGAGAACATCAGACCTAGCATTCAATTAATCAACCCAGACGATACAGCCCATGAAGTTGCTTAGAAAACATCTTACAAAAATTAAATTACACTCTTGGCATCTTCGCTTCCCAGTCCCCACAGGGGAACACACACACACACACACACACACACACACACACACACACACACACACACACACACACACCTTAATGGAGCAGTCTTTGTTGTCTTCGGGGCTTTTTTTTCTTCTGGTTTCACAGCTAGACGTTGAACTGGGCTCCAGCTGGGGAGCAGCACTCACTCAATGAGACTTTACTGTTCATTTGTTTTCTTCCCCACTGTCTCTGCCATTGTGCGGTAAATACTCCTTCTCCCACAGAGCTTCTAAGTTTCTGAGTCACACCTGTTTTCTATTAGTTTTTGTCTGTCATTTTAATTCTCTGCCTATTGTGTAGGCCCCTGGGAATATATGCAAATCAACGTCTCCGTTCAAAAGGGAGACCAGAGAGAAGCATTTCAGGAATGAAATCTGTGTTTGTCCACGCCCACCATAATGGAGTTGGCCAGTGAATAGCTCTTGATGATCAGGTGCACACATCCTAGTAGTCCAAGAACAAGAATAACCAAAAGCATCACAAAGCCTTCTAAACCACGCCTCTTAACAGGGCTGCTGTGTTAAGTGATGTCTACAAAAAAGACAATGCTTCAGATGTGCTCTCAGGAGAGTTAGGGGGCATGAAGCCATTCATGGAAAGCACTCAGAAATCATGCTGATGACAGCAAAAGAGAGTTTTCCATCAGGATCAAGAGATCTGGTCTCCATATCACTTCTGCTAATCCCCAGTACACTTGGGTGAGCTATAGTTTCTTTGTGACCAGTTAATTGGTCTCTCGTTCTCTCTTTTTTCTCTCTTTCTCCCCTATAATGGGAATTGAACCTAGGACCCTCTAGCATATTGGACAAGTGGTCTATCACTGAGCTACACCCCTATCCCCACACTGGGGAGTTCTAGGCAGGGGCTCTATCACTGAGTCACACCCCAGCCCCTCACTGGGGAATTCTAGGCAGGGGCTCTATCACTGAGGCACACCCCAGCCCCTCACTGGGGGATTCTAGGCAGGTGCTCTCCCACTGAGCCACACCCCTAGCCCCTCACTGGGGGATTCTAGGCAGGTGCTCTACCACTGAGCCACATACTAGTCCTTTATTGTTTTATTCTTAGACAAGGTTACTGGGCATGGACAACAGTAGCAGTCCACAGATGCAGGAACTGACAATTAAAGTAAAGGCAGAAAAAGGAAGGAATAGAGAGTTAATTTAATATTCTCTGGTGCAGCTGCAGTAGGGACACTCTCAGAGAACAGGGGGCATGGACAAGGAGGGAGAGTTTTTAATAGCAGTTGGGAGAAAGGCTATTTAGTCTTATTACATGGTGGAGATTTCCATATCTGAGCCAACAGGCTGACCTCTCGATGTCTTATTCAGTAGTAAATCTTACAGCACCTGTTCTCTGTCTGGAGACAGGCCATTTGTGGTCAGGCTTTGTGAGTCATTAGGAGCTAGGTCCCAAATGTCTACAAGGAGTTTTGCTTTTATTTTTGTCTCTTTTTGTGCTTGATGTTGCCTCCACAAGGGTCTCAAAAGTTGGCCTTGAATTTGTGATCCTCCTGCCTCAGCCTCCCCAGTATCCAAGATGATAGGACTACACCACCACACTTGGAAAGTCTAACTTTTTAACTATTAACTTAGTTTTCAAGATTCCAACGTTTTTCATGAAAGAAAAAATAATTTGGAAAAATGACACATACCTCCAGGTTAAAATAGTTAATCTGATCAAATAAACATTGTACAAATATAAGTGTATACAGGACAGTGTAATTATTTTCGATTGCTTTATGTTTGTATAGACGTTTTCTTTTAGTTGAGATAGGCAAATGGAATATTTTCAATTATTTTGAAAAGAAATGAAGAAAGAAAGCCATTTCTTGTCTGGTGGGTGACACATGCCTGTAATTTCTGGTACTTGAGAAGGTGAGGAACGAGGCTCAATTGTTTAAAGCCAGCATATACAACTTAGTGAGACACTGCCTAAAACTAAAAAGTGAAAATGGCTTGGATATAGCACAGTGGCAGTGCTAGAATCCCCAGTGAGGGGTGGGGAGTCTGTGACTCAGTGGTAGAGCCCCTGCCTAGAATCCCTCAGTGAGGGGCTGGGGGTGTGGCTCAGTGGTAGAGCCCCTGCCTAGAATCCCCCAGTGAGGGGCTGGAGGTGTGACTCAGCAGTAGAATGCCCACCTACCAACTGCAAGCCTCTTGTTTTAATCAGCAGTACTTCCCAAACACACACAAAGTTAGAATCCAGAGAAGTAAACCATAGCATTCACGCAGATATTTTCTTCCAAGAGTGGACTGTTAAGTGTTGTTTTTCTAGAAGGAGAGAAAATTTAATTTGTTGCATACGACTGATGATTCAGTCAGGGACCTATTAATTCTGTGAAGTCCAATGTACGAAACCCACTGAACTTTCAGCTAGCATGAGTTACTAGTTCCTTTCAATAGGGTTCATGTAGCCCAGGCTAACCTTGAATTTACTATATAGCCGAGAATGACCTTGAATTCCAAAATCCTCCTGCATCCACTTCTTAGGTGCTGGGATTACCATCATGTCTGGCTTCTCTTAAGCTTTTTGAATGTGTAAGCTAAGGTACCTCAATTTTTGTCATGACAGAGGAAAGGCAGGCCACCCATGTTGCTCTAGCCAGAACATCCCACTAACCTAGGTGACATTGTTGGAAGCTGTATTCTTTGCCGAGCATATTTTCTTCTTCCGTGAAATGAAGAAGGAGAAGCAGATGCTCTCTCCCAGGTCTCTTCCATCTCTAAACATCCATGATGTATGGCATTTTGAATTCAATTGATTATTTTCCAGACTCTTCTGTGTAAGTCGGCTCAGCCCCAGCTCTCCCTGCTCAGCCTTTCTGACAGTGATAAGTTGCAAAGTCATATAGAAGGGAGTTTTCTGCCTTCAGTTCGGGAGACGAATCTAGCTCTATTACTTGAGGTAACTCAATTCAATTCACATTTGATTCAATGTTGACTGAATAGTTACTTCAGCCAAATTACCAGGGAGCCTCCTGGTTTCCCCCTTGGGCTTAGGAAGGCTGATGATTTTCTATTCTCTCTCCTTCAATCGCAAAGCATGTATTGACTGTCTACTGTAGCCTAGGTATTAGGCATTAAAGATGAATCAGATGGGAGTTCTGCCTTTTGAGGTCCTGCCAGGTAGTAGGATTTTTCTTTTTCTTCCTTGTGTTAGAGACTGAAATCTAAGTCCTTGTGCTGGCTAGATAGATGATCTATCACTGAGCCACACCATGCCCGGAGCCCCTCACTGGGGGATTCTAGGCAGGTGCTCTACCACTGAGCCATGCCCTCAGTTCCTTGCTGGGTAGTTCTAGGCAAATGCTCTTCCATTGAGTTGTACCCTAGTCCTTCACTGGAGAGGGGGGAGCTCTATGCAAGTGCTCTTCCACTGAGCTATAACCCTAGCTCTATATTCCAACCTTTTATTTTGAGACTGATTTTCATTAAATTGTCTGGGATGACTTTGAACAGTCGATTTTCTGCCCTTCGCCTCCTGAATAGCTGGGATGGCAGTACTGTGTCACCAGGTCCAAATCAAACAGTATTTAAATAGAAACAGACTTTGTTGTCAGCCTTACCTGTGTTATGTCAGCAACTCTCCTATTTGCCAACTGTGTGACACTGGATAAAGTGAAATTCCATGTAATTAAGTTCCATTTCTTTCTCAGTGACAGTAGAAACAGTTTGTCATGTATATCTGTGAATTCTGCGTCTCATACTCAACACACAGAAGGTCAAAAATATTCAGAAGAATTTCAAGTGCTTCTCTACAGAGTATGTGGAGGTTTTTTCTTGTTATAATGATAACAACAGATATTTATATTGTATTACATGTTACAGGCGATGTAGAGGTAACCAAATGTGTACAGGGCATAAATACAGGTTATATGCATATGCTACACCATTTTACATGTGGAACTTAAACATCCATCGTTTCTGATATCCTCAGAAGAACTGGAACCAATGCCCCACGGGTATTGAGAGATGATCCCACCAATTCTGTTTGGTGTGTACAAACACCCAACCTACAAAGAGCTGCATTTAGTGTTCAGTGTGGACAGTGAAGCCCCTAATGTGTTAGACACATGAAAGGTTCCATCACTAGTTTTCAGTTTATAGAGAACACTTAGGTTGGGCTGGGGATATGGTTCAGTGGGCAGAGTGCTTGCTACATAAACATGGGGACCAGAGTTTGGATTCCCAGAACCTACATAAAGCTGGATGCTGTATCAGTCCACCTGTAATCACTATGCAAGATGGAAGCTGGAGACGGGAGAATCCATAGTGCTCATGGGCCAGAACAATAAGAGACCCAGTGTCAAACAATGTGAAAGTCAAGGACCAACACTGAGACTGACCTATGGCCTCTACACACATGTATGGCATGTATGTATGTGTGTGCACATGTGCTCTCATACACATGCACGGGAAGAAAGAAAGGGGGCAGACAGAGATAGAGAGAGAATTAAATACTCAACTTTTACTGAATCCACGAGGTGACATTTATGCCAGGTGTAGAAATGAATTAAGATCCTTTGGAAATAAAAAGAGAGCAGGCTTCTGGTCTACTATAAGACAAAGATTGGCATCAGTGCATGTCTGTGATTGAGAGTGACACGATTCTTGTGATATGGAGAGGGGAACACAGTCTTCAGCATCTCTGGCATTTCTTGGAGATAACTCAGGAAATATGGGATCTCTCTGGCGACCAGGAGCATTGCTTTCAAATGTCTGCCATGAAAGGGAAGATGGATGGAGTGGGAGGAAGGAGGGCAGGGATTTCTTTGCTTTGGAAGATTTATCTTTTCCTTTGGAAGAGGCTCTATGCCAAATCTGGATCTTTGGGCTGAGGCTGCAGATTTTCTTGGCTTTTCCAGACTTTGTGATGCTAAGCCTGATACAGCTACTCTCCATTTGATTCCACCCCTATTCTTTTGATTTCTGTAAAGAAGGCAAACAAAAAACAAATCAGGTAAGGGTATCAAATTTGTACTTGATCTAGAAGATTCTGCAAGCCTTTCTGATTCTAATTAAAATTTCAGCCATTTTTCCTTATTTTCTAGATTTATTTTATATTTTAAATTCCCTCCCTCCCTCTGTGTATGTGTGTGTGCAAGTGTGCCTGTGAGTGAGTGTGTGTGTGTGTGTGTGTGTTTGTGTAGAAGTGGGTGCAGATCCCTTGGAGCTGGATTTACAGGTAGCTGTGAGCTGCCTCCCAGAGATTCTCTACAAGAGCAATAAGTACTCTTAACCACTGAGTCATTTGTACATCCCCCTATTCCTTTTTGTTAAATAGAGTATCTTTTATTTATCCTTTGTTGGCTTCATACATGTAAACTGTGTATCTTTTTATAAGTAAAGATGTTGTGGAAACTACATGTCTTGACTGTGCACCACCCCAACTTCCCCTTTCCCCTCTGTCAGGCACTTCCAACACATCCCCCCTTCCCGCTCACGATTTCCCCTTTATTCTTTATTATTTAAACCCACTGAGTCTAATTAGCGCCCCTGCCAGAATACTGGCCGACCTGTATGTTCTGCCCTTTTGTGGATAACCGTTGCCCCATAGTGATTTCGTGAGTGCAGTCACTATGCCACACCCAGAAGACAAGACCTCTCCCCACCCTCTGGCTCTGACATCCTCTTCAGTGATGCTGCTTAAGCAGGCAGGAGCGGGCCGTTGATCAGACTGTCTGTTTCTCCTTAGAGCTATGGCTTGATCACTCACCAGGGGTGAGAAGGTTGAGCCAGCAGTGTTTGGCCATGGATTCAGGATGTGCCCTGACTTTTCAAAGTCTCCACCTTGCCATAGCCTGGGCCCAGGGTGTCTTTCTGGAGGTCACAGTTTGAAGGCTGATATGCCACCTCTGTTCTTATCAAGCATGAGGAATTTTCTCTGCCAACTCCTCACTCCTGTGATTTCATTTAAAAATAGATAACGTTTCCAAAAGTCAAATATAATATCAAAGGCACAGGTACTGGGGAAGTAGAAATTCGGTGTAGCCAGTGTAGGCAAGCCTCCTCCGAGATTCAAGATGTCAAACTGTGTTACTCTGGTTATTGCTTTACAGTATTTCAAATCGTGTTACATTATATCACGCCACTCTGGAATATGAAGTGAGCCCCGAACTGTCGGATAATGGGCAAACACAAGGGTTGCCTGACAGTACGAATTATCCTTGAGCGGTTTGGCGTAAAGTAATCACACCACTCTTTAGGGAGAGGGCAAAAGGAAAAAAAATAACAGCTAGACACTTTGGATGGAATAGCAGTATAGTCAGATTCAGTGACCCGCTCAGGCAGCATCCGGTGGGCCCAGTGCCCCTGTCATACGCTGCAAGCTTCCCTGAGTGTACCTCATTGTGGATGGGAAACACTGTGTCCGTCAAGGTCTCTCCCGATGAATAGAGCTGTTGCTCACCAAGAAAAGAAAATCAGTGACAGGTGGAAATGACCATTTAATTCACACTACAAGGCTGAAGCTCCTCAGGTTCCTAGCAACTTGATTCACCGAGCCTGTCCTGCACTCACTGAAAAAAAATGTGATTCACATTAGAGAGTATGACTTAACAGTGTGTGTGTGTGTGTGTGTACTCGAGCATACACATGCGTGCACACACACACACACACACACACACACACACGCATGCATGAAATGAGTGCAGCAGTGTGGATGTCTCTGCCTCCCACCTCGTTTGATACAGGTCTGATGTTTGCAGGTGCATCTTCAGGCTAGCTAGCCCAGGAACATCTGGGGATTTTCCTGTCTTTGTCTTCTGTCTCACCATAGAAGTGGTATTCTCCAGTTTGAGGGGTCTTAGGGATCTGAACTCTGGTCCTCACACTTGTACAATCAACACTTTATCTACTGAGCTTTCTTCCCCAACCCATAGTTTTACAAGCAGGCGTTTTGCAGACTGTCTCATCTTTCTCTCTGAGTGCTGCTTTATTCTATAAGTAAACATATTCTATTTTTATGAGCGCTTTTTATAATCTGTATTTGCATCTCTATTAAAAACTGCAAATAATGAACATTGAACTTGTGAGCTGTTATGACAACTGTTGGTGGCAGGGGCTTGGGGGAACCATTGAGTGGCATTCAGACAACAGCTGGGGCTAGTCATATTCCAGAAACTTGGTTCTCACACTTGGGTACCTGGAGAGGAGCCTGGCCATGTCAAGTCACAGCAGATTGAGGTCAATGAACTAGAATGTTTATTAAGAATAGTTGACATTGAAGCCAAGTGTCACAATGAAACTAGAACCCCGAGCAACAGTCAGCAAGGTTCACTCTGAAGAGTGAGTGATCAGAATTGGTATGAGGAGAATGCCATGAAGAATGTTCTCCCTGGTGCCTGGAAGGAATTTTACAGAATTTCATGAGTGGATCAGGCTCACAGGTAAGGAATGAGCTAAGGCATAACCTTGTTTGCCTCTACATTTGTCTCTGGAAACTTCTTTTTTTTCCCTCTCCCTCCCCTTCTCCCCACCCCCACCAACCACCCCAACCCCACACCAATCCCCTCCCCACTCCACTCCCCAGGGAGGGTGAAGCCCTCCATGGGGGATCTCCAAAGTCTGTCATATCATCCAGGGCAGGGCCTAGTCCCCACACCCCCAATGTGTATAGACTGAGAGAGCGTACCTCCATGTGGAATGGGCTCCCAAAGTACATTCGTATGTCAGGGATAAATACTGATATACTACCAGAGACCCCATAGATAGCTGAGGCCTCCTCACTGACACCCAGATTTAGGGGGTCTGAATAAGTCCCATGATGGCTTCTCAGCCATCAGTCTGGAGTCCATGAGCTCCCCCCTTGTTCAGGTCAGCTGTTTCTGTGGGTTTCACCAGCCTGGTCTTGACCCCTTTGGTCGTCACTCCTCCCTCTCTGCAACTGGGTTCCAGGAGTTCAGTTCATTATTTAGCTGTGGGTGTCTGCCTCTGCTTCCATCAGCCACTGGATGAAGGCTCTAGGATGGCATATAAGGTAGTCACCAGACTCATTATTGGGGAAGGGTATTTAAGGCCTCTCCACAATTGCTTAGTTTGCCAGTTGGCATCATCTTTGTAGATCTCTGGAAATCTCACTAGTGCCAGATCTCTCCTCAAACCTATAATGACTACCTCTATTATGGTATCTCTCATCCTGCTCTCCTCTCTATTCTTCCTCCAACTCAAGCTTCCTACTCCCCCATGTCCTCCTCTCCCCTGCCTTCTCCCTCTTCCTTTCTCCCTCTGCCTTCCCCTTTGGCAACTTTTTGACCCCTTTTCTATGATCTTGCTTCATCCATTCATCTGTCTGTCCGTCTGTCCATCCATCCATCCTTCTGTCTGTCTCTGTCTCTCTCTTTCTCTGTATCTCTATCTATCCACCCTTCTGCCTATCCTATCTTTTCATCTATCTATCTATGTATCTATCTATCTCTTTATCTATTCATCCACCCACCCATCCATCTGAAATTTATTAGCTTTAACTGATAGGTTGACATAACTAGAATCATCTGGGAAGTTGCTCTTAATGAGGGATTATCTACATTGGGATAGACAGTGGGTGTGTCTGTAGGGGAGCACTTTCATTAAGTTTATCAATGTGGGATGACCAGGCCACTGTGGAAAGTGTTATTTCCTAGGCAGGGGATCCTGAACTGTATGAGTAGAAAAAAATTGCAGTGAGCACAAAAGCAATCAAACAAGCATGCATATATTCATTTCTCTCTGCTCTTGACTGTGGATAAGGTGTAATTAGCAATTCTAAGTTCCTGTACAATGATGGACTATAACCTGGAACTGTAAATGAAAATAAACTCCCTTTGCACATGAATTGTTTTCTGTTAGTGCATTTCATTACAACAGCAAAAATGAAATCAGATTGTCTTTCTTCCCTTGATCCATCCACTCTCCCATCCAGCCATATATCATCCATCCACCTTTCTGCCTATTTATCTACCCACATACTGGAGAGTCACAGACTTTGATATTCAAAGCCTAGTTATTTATAAGATAATCCTATCTCTCAAAAGCATCTTCACACCTTTACAGCCTTATCAAGATGCATGACCAATATGATAGCTGGACAACTCAGCTGTCATGTAAAATTAACCATCGTAGAATGGAAGGACCCTATTAGGTGAAATTCCCAACAATTATGGCCAAGGACAGACTGCCTGCTCTTCTTTTATGACTCAGATATGACAACACCTTCCTTGGACAGCATACAATCAGTCCAGCATGACAGAGAAGGCATGATTTCAGGAGTATGAGGCAGCTGGCCCCGTTGCACCCACGGTCAGGAAGCAGAGAGAGATGAATGCTGGTGCTCAGCTCACTTTCTCCTTTTTATTCAGCTGGGGACCCCAGCCCAGAGAATGTTGCCACTTACATGTATGGTCTGTGCTGCTACCTCAATTAGCTCATAGACATGCCCAGGGATTTGTCTACAAGGTGATCCTAGATTGTGCTAAGTTGGCAACACAAATAACACCACATAGTGGGTCTGGTTCTTACCACAGTTTCCTGTCTAAGTTACAAGTGGTGCATATACTATTACAAGATAATAGATGGGGTCAGGACAAAACAGTTGTTTAACTGAACGATACTTTCAGAGAACTGCAGAAGAGAATGCTGTGAGTTGACAAAACCAAATCCCATTACCTTTTTTTTTTTCAATTAGGAAGCACAGTGTGCTCCCATGACTGGGCTCACAGAGACAATCTAAATCTTGAGTAATGGGCAAGCTTAGAAGGAAATAAAGTACCCAGCTTAGGGCCCAGCATAAAATGTAACTGGTTAAGTGTTTGTTTAGTATTTCATCAACTACATCAAGTCTACAATGTACTGGGCTTAAGAACTGCTTTTGCTCTTGAGAAAACAGAATTGTACTAAGGCTCTCTTGTTGTAATAAATATTGCTTTATCAATGTCCCCATTGTCAGATGCCTATATGATGTTGTGTGGCAAACTTGTTGTATACCCTTTTATTTATTTTTTAAAGGTATATTTATTTTTTTTATGTGTATAGATGTTTTGCCTGCACACATGTCTATGTGTGTATGCACCACCTGTTTTCAGTGCCCATGAAGGCCAGAGAAAGGCATAGATCCTCTGCAGTGGAAGTTACAGACAGTTATTAGCTGCCATGTGGATGTTGGGAACCGAACCTGCATCCTGTGCAAGAGCAACAAGTGATCTTGACCTCTCCAGACCTTGCTTTTAATAAAAAAAATCATCTTATGTATATGTATCTGGAAGAGTGAATGCCACACTTGGGTTTCCAAGGAGGCCAAAAGAAGGTGTCAGATTCCCTGCAGCAGGAATGACAAGCAATTATAAGCTGAGTGACTCAGGTGCTGGGAACGCAGTGTAGACCCTGTAGAGGAGCAGCAAATGCTCTGTTGAACTATCCATCTCTCAGTCATGCACATCCCTTTTAAACGGGAGTATGGAGGAGACCCTGATGTTTGTACAATGTCTGCACAAGTTTCCAGTTGTCTACTGGTACAGGCCTCTTCTACTCAATGCAGGGCGTTGAAAAAGAACTAAACTAGGTCTAGCTGCCTTGTATTTGCCTTGGGAGTTTAGCCCATGACTTGGCACAAAGAGGCTTCTCAGTAGATATTTGAGTCCCAGTGTGGGTTCAGTTCAATTCAACACAGTGCAGCCCAAAGACTCTGGTGTCATCATGGTTGAGAGTGACTGAGGGTCAGGTAATAGAATCTTCCTCTGGCCACTGGTGGTTTTGCATACATTAGATTTGCAAATTAAAGAGAGCTTGCTTTCTGAGGCAGAGCCTTTGTTGATTTAGGACTCAGTGAAAGGAGTCCTGGCATTTCAGTCTTGTCCAGCTTCTCAGCAGTGTCTAATTTTCTAAGCCCAATATCTGCCCGCATTATTTGAGAGCCCAAGTCTGTCTAGAGGGCAGAGGACTTATAAGCACTCTTTATTCTCTTCCTTTCACTGAGTCCTGGATTTTTCTTTTAATCACAAAGCCCATTCCTTCCTTCCTTCCTTTTTTTTTTATTTTTGATTGTCTGGGGCTCAGGGAGATATTGTCTGTCTTGTCTAGCTCCATTGTGTGGGCTCAGCTCTCACCTTAAGGACAGGAATTTGGTGCCTGAATCTATCCTGAATAGTCTAGTTTGCCATTCGCATTTATCATCACTCTTGGTTCCGAGGGATGTTTAACCATCCAGCTGGGAGAGGGGAGTTATCCTGTCTTATTCGGGTTCCATGTACCCTCTAGTCTTCTTATGGGACCCCCCATTGCTTTATTAGTTCAGAAACACTCGAAAAAAGCAATTTAAGGGAGAAAGAGTTTATTTGGGCTCACACTCCCAGGGTATAGTTCATCGTGTTGCGGAAATCATGATATCAGAAGTGTGGGTGGGTGTCAGTGAGGAGGCCTAGGTAATCTATGGGACCTTGAGTAGTATTTATCCCTGGCGTACAAACAGACTTTGAGTGCCCTTCGCACAATGAGGGATGCTCTCTCAGCCTGGACTCTTGTGGGAGGGCCTAGGCCCTGCCCTGGATGAAATGAGATGCACCATGGAGGGTCTCACCCTCCCTAGGGATTGGAGTGGAGGTTGGATAGGGTGACTGGGGGGCCCTGTGGGGAGGGCAGGAGGAGGGGAGGGAGAGAGAGCTGGGATTGACATGTGAAACAAGCTTGTTTCTAACTTAAATTTTAAAAAGAAGAGAAAAAAAGAAGTGTGGGACGTTTGATATTATTGTGCTATACAGCAAAAGGCAGTTATAGTTGGGTAGGAACGATTCTTTAGGTTAGCTTGAGGTGGGAAGATCCGCCTTAACTGTGGGTGGCATCATCCCACTAAGTAGGGGCCCTGGACTGCATACAAAGGAGAAAGTGAGCCGAGCACCGCATCCGTCTCTCTCTGCCTCCCGACTGTTGGTAAACGTGACCAGCCACCTCTTACTCCTGCCACCATGCCTTCCCCACCATGCTGGACTGTGACCTCTAACTGTGAGCAAGGCAAGCCCTTCCACAAGTGGCTTTTTGTCAGGTGTTTGATCATGGCAACATGTTCAGAAACAAGTAGGAAACTCATCCTGGAATCCTTAACTTTTGTCTTTCCAGTGGGCAGTCAGTGCTGCATTGAAGGAGGCTACATGATGGAACCCACCACGGTGATCAGTATTAACTGTTGGATTGACAGGATCTAGAACCACCTAGAAGAAAAGCCTGTGGGCACAACTGCGAGGGATCATCTAGGTTAGCCTTTGTGCATGCTTGTGGAGAATGATAGTAGTTTCCTCAATTGAGATGGGAAGACCCGCCCACTATGGGTGCTACCATTCCTGGGCTTCAGTCCTAGACTGTATAAAAGGAAGAATGGAGACGAGCACAGGCATTCAACACTCTTCTGATTGTTGATTGTGGATGCGATATGACCAGCTGCCTTGACTTCCCTCGTATGATGCAGCTGTGAGTCATTCAACCTTGAGTTGCTTTTGCCAGTATATTTACCACAGCAGCGGCAAAAGCAACTACGGCACGCACCCATTTCTCCATTTCACGGCATTGCTACACAGGTTTTCACTGGAACTGGAATAAACCAGGTCTTTGTGTCGCTCAGTAGTGAGCTCTCTAATAATAATGATGATGATGATAGGAACAATAACAATTTTAGCTGACAGAACAAGAAAATGCTTTTTTTTTTAAATGAAAGGTGTTTTTATTTGTATCTACATGTGTTTGTGTGTTTCTATGTATTGGTATGTGCACACGTGTGCAGGTGCCTGCAGAGGCCTGAAGAGGGAGGGTGCCAATGCCCTGCAACTGGAGTTAGAGTTGTTTGTAAGCCACTTCATGAAGTTCCTAGCAACTGAACTCAGCTCCTCTAGAAGAGCAGCAAATGCTCTAACCACTGGGCAGTCTCTCCAGCTCCCAGAAAATACATTTTATTTGCTTGTGATCATACTGTGATGATAGATAATTGCAAACTAATCAATCTTGTTTTGTCAGCATGACTTTCGTATCAAAAAGACCCTGTGTGGGTTGTTTTTTTTTAAGCCACAAATAAATGTAAAATTTAGGACTGTGAAGCATCCATAATGACAGATAATACTGTTAAGTAATGAGTTCTCGCCAGTCTTTTACCAGAATCCTCAAGTATATCAAATTCTTTTCCTCCACACCTCTCTGAATTTCCTTTTGTATGCAGTGTTCATTTATTTTTCCCTGCATACCTAATCACTACTCTAACTTTTATAGACAGGATTTGACAATGCAACTTATGATCTTCCAGGGTTCTTAATATTCCCAACATTTAGAACACTTTTAAAACAGTCTTTTGAACCAGTGGAGGATAAGTTCACATTTACACTTAATCTTCCTGTGTTGTGGCGCCTCCAGCAAGTTAGTTCACCTTTTTAAGTGAAATATCTTTCCATACTCTCTTAGAAACTTTTCTGTTGCTGTGATAAAACAGCCTAATCAAAAGAATTTAAGAAAGAAGAGGTTCGTATGTTACATTCCCATGAGGATGAAGTCTATCATGATGGGGCAGTCATGGTAACAGAAATGGGTAGCCGGCTGGCCACAAGCTTCTCAGAAAGCAATTGAGTCCACAGGAATCGGGCTCAGGATGTAAAGCCTCACAGCTTGCTCCTGTCTACCTTCTTCCTCCAGGTAAAGGAAGAATGTTCCAAAGGCTTCCCAAACAGTGTCACCAACAGGGAGTCAAATGTCCTAACAAATGAGCCTATGGGGATGCTCTACATCCAAACCACCACAACTACCTATAAATCAGGAACTTGCTACTAACCTTCCAAAGTCATTGTAATAACCGAAGGATGTAAGTTAGCGAGCTTTCCATTGCAATGAAAAACATACCTGATCCAAAAACATTCGGGGGAGGGAGAACTTTATTTTGGCTCATGGTTTCAGAGGATTCACTCCCTCCATGGTCAGTTGACTTCATTGTTTCTGGCTCTGGTAAGACAGCATATCCTAGCAGAGGGGCCTGGAGAAGCAAAGTTGCTCACTGCATGATATCTAAGAAGCAGAAAGAGGAGTAGGGGCAGGGGCTGGGAATAAGACTCATCTCCAGGGGTACAACCCTACTGATATACTCCTTCCAACTAGATACCATTTCCAAAATATCCCAAGCTACTTCCCAGTGTGCCTATTAAAACAGGAATCCATTAAGTGGGTCAACCCATTGATGAAGTCGGAGCCCTCACGATCCATCCACTTCCTCAATGTCTTGCCTCTGAACACTGACACATTTGGAACCAAAGATTCAACATATGTATCTTTTATAGGGGACACCTCAGAATCAAAACAGGAAGAACTTACCATTCTATATGTTTCAAAATATCGACCATGCACTCTTGAGAGTGTAAAATCAGCTTCATTTTTTTAAAATTCAAAGTGCTAACAAAACAGCAGGCAAGGTGTTTATTTTGGTTCATAGTTTGAATGTATACCACGCCAATGTGGGGATAGAAAGAGGGAGCTGGTCACCCTGCAGTGACAGTCAGGGAGCAACTTTCTCCTTTTTGTAACATACCGTGAGATGGTGCCATCCACATTCAGGATGAGTTTTCCCTCTTCAGGGAAACCTCTCTGGAAATACGTCATAGACATGCCCACAGGTGTGTTGCTGTAGTGCTTCAAAATCCCATCAAGGTGGCAATAATGATTAACCGTGACTCCAGGTGTGGTGATGCACGCCTTTGGCCCATCACTCAGGAGTCAATGGCAGCTGGATCTCTATGAGTTTGATACCAGCCTGGTCTACATAGAGAATTTCAGGGCCCCCAGGGCTGTGTAGTGAAAGCCCATCTGAAAAAAAAATAAGAAGACATTAACCATCAAAGAAAGTATTCTCCTCCCCCAGAGGAATAGATTCTCTAGCTTGTAAAAGGTGTTAGAAAGCTTGCTAGCATGCACAAGCCCATGGATACAATCCTCACTGCTAAGGGGAAAAAGCAAGGATGTAACAGCTCATTCTATTCCTGCCATGAACTTCTTTGACTTAAGCATAGAGACAGGCACTTAGACCAAGCGCTCCAATGGAGGAGCTTTCTGGAGGCATCTAGAACCTAGGCAGTTCCTTATAGACCTTCTCCATCATCCCACTTGAAGTACCAAGGAGAGGAAGAGATGCTTTCCTTTGTTGAATACAAGGGACTCTGGTATAAGAAGAGGTATAAGGTTAAGGAAAGCACTTTGAGCATAGATACCCAACGAGTCTACCTTCACATATGCTGCTTTTTCTAAAAACTCTGGGGAGGTCTGAACAAAAAGACTAGTGCTGGGAGTTATGAGTTTGTGCTATTTCAAGATAAGAGGCACAGAACATAGCTCAAGGCAACAGCTCTAGGTGCCCAAGTGATGCTTTACTGGTTCCATTAGGGGTGGTACCCAGAGGCGGTTCTTTCTTCTCACCTGATAGGTTCTGGAAACCCAGATCAGGTTGTCAGGCTTGATGTCACGCTGAGCCATAGCTGGCTCTATGCCCCCTTTTATACTCAGTTCAAGACTTCCTCTTTCTAAAGTGTATTTTGGCCAAACATAACTCTGCAGGTAATGCTATTTCATGCGTCTTCATTCCTGTCACAGTAGGCAGTATATATGGCATCCAGAGCATAATTTACTGAGTTTTCAGTTTTTCTGAGTTTTCCAGCTAGATGGTAAACTACTATTAAAAGTCCATCTGTTTAACCATGTGACTATTGGACACTGACATAGCATGTACCATGTCCAAACATTGTACTAATAGCTTTTGTATGAGTAATGTTTTCTATGTGTGTGTATGTTCACCTATATGTAGGTGCCTGTGCACATGTGTGTACATGTATGGTGAAGCCAGAGGACAACCTCAGATGTCATTCTCAGGAAAGTCATTTACCTTCTTTAAGCCCAGAGCTCACCAATTATGCTGGATTGGCTGGCCAGGGAGTCTCCGGGATCCTCCCACCTCCGTCTCTCCCAGTGCTGGGATTACAGGCGTATGGCATTTTCATGAGGACCAAATTCAGAGCAAGTGATTTTCCTGCTAAGCTATCTCCCTAGTCCACTAGTAATGCTATTTTATCTCTCAGAAAACATTGTGAAGGGATTAGCACTAGTTTCGTGGATTTTTATTTGAGCCCAGGTTTGCTTGATTTGTCCATGGATCTAGAATCTGAATCACACAACCACAACAAGGAACAACTGATCTGGATGTCAGCTCCGGTCTCATGCTGAATCATCTTTATAGTATAGCAAATGCTGTCAAGGGCGGCCATGCCTGCACTTGTTTTGAATTCATCATAGCATCCAGCTCTGTGCTTCACATGTAATTAAAACTTAATTAATCTTGATTAAGTCTTTGAAAAAAAACAGCACTGTAGGGATGCTTTCTAAGACTCATCACTTTTAACTTAATCTCTCTCCTACAGAAATGCTGAATAGGGTTGAAGACGAGAAGTGGTTTACAATATGCTTTTGGGTGCGGGAGAGATGGCCCGGCAGTTAAAGATTACTGCTCTTTCAGAGGACCTGAGTTTAGTTCCCAGAATCCACATTAGGTAGCTCCCAACTGCCCATAGCTTCAGTTCCAGTGGGTCTGATGCCCTCTTCTGGCCTCCTTGGGTGCTGCACTTATGGGGCACACACCCACATCCAGAGAGATACACATAAGTACACATAATTGAAAATACATAGAATCCTCAGAAATTGCAAACATGAGATTATGCTTTTGGACCTTATTGATAATTTGGTGACAGGTCTAGTGATCAATAAGGGGTTCAACGTCTGAGAACCAGAAACTTAATCTAGATTCTGCTAGTGCTGTCCATAGATTTTGAAATTATCTAGAAATCAGCATTTTTAAGTGCAGTGACCCAAAAGCATGGATCCTAGCCTATTCTCAGTTGTTTTCTTCTCTAGCTTGAAAGTGTTTTTTCTGGTTTTATTTTTTTATATGTGTGTGTTGTGTATGTATGTATGTGTGTATGTGTGTGCTGCTGTACCTGTGTATGGCAGCATGCATGCACATGCGACTGCATGAATGTGGGGTCTAGATGGCAATTCCAGACATGTTTCTCATGCTATCCAACTTATTTTGGGAGAACAGAGTATCTCATTGGCTTGTTACTTGCCCAGTCTTGGGATTACAAACATGAGCTATTTTAATATTCTTAAAAAAAAGTAGGTTCTGAGGATCAAACTCAGGTTCTCATGGCTGCAAGCCAAGGGTTCTACCATGGCTATCTCTCCAGCCCCATGTTGGAGTTTCCCTAGAACAGGCAGTTGGATACCAGTTATATACCCATTTTTCCATCTTTTCAGCTTCTAGAACAGTCTGCTGTGAGAGGTCATGAAGTCTCCATGATCTCTTTTCCACTATCAGCTCTCCCTATTTAGTTCTAAACAATGACCCAGCACCTGGGTTCTTAAAAGTTTTCCTGCCACATCCTTCCCCTGACCCATCATCCAGCAAGATCTATGAATGAAACACTTTTTATATGAAGTGAAACTTTCTATATCTGGATCCTTAAATGTATGCTTTTAGATGACTGTAGATTGAAACCACTTATAAAAACTGCATCTGGGGGCTGGAGATACCATTCCACATATGCAAATGATTGCTGCTCTTGCAGGTCAATCCTTGGAACCCAGATAAAAAAAAGCCAGACATACTGGCACGCACTTGTAATCCCGGCTCTGGAGAAGCAGAGACAGGCAGATCCT